AGAATCATCTTCTTTTCGAACACTGAGAGCAAATATGAGCCGTAGAGAATCACGTTGTTGCTTCATGACTTTACCACTAGGCTGCGGTTTTTAAAGATAGTTTTTAGAAATATATCTATGCAAAAAGCAGCTGCCAAATCTGCCCTAAGGTTGCAGTATTGTTTATGAGTTTTCTGTTTTGGTGCGATGTTATATTTGGTTTTTTGGTTTGCTGTCACTATTAAATAGGCATCCAAGTGTTGAATGTTAATCATTTGAAGTAAAGCTCAATCTCGAAGTTAAAAAAAATTGCTATCAAATTTTATTATGTTTGTTGTGCTCTGTAGTTTGTGGTTACCGGCCTAAGCATCATAAAGCTATTGAGGAAAATTTAGGTTTAATGTTTAAATGACATTCTGATAGTACTGGTGGTGATGATTGATTGATATTCTGGGTTCTTAGTTTCTCTTTTACTCACTCTTAGAAGAAATGATGTCTTTAGATATGGCATGCACCAGTGTCCGGTGGTGTAAATTATGGTTCTCTCAGGCTGCTGCTCTGGATTTGTCGGTGTTCGAGCCAGTTTTGCGTGTGTTTACCAATATCAATATCATTACAACTTCTTCAAACTTGCATTTACAGGACCCAAGAGAGGAAGTGATACAGGCATGGTATATGGATGATAGCAATGAAGACCAGAGGCTTCCTCATCACCTAGAACCGAAGCAGTTTCTATCCCTGAAACAACTTGATGGTAATCCTTGCTAAGAATAGCCTACAGTTGTACAGAGTTATGTGATTTTTAGTTAAGACTTATATCTTGTGAATAATGGTAAACTTTCAGAACTTGGAGTTCTGAGCTGGAGACTAGATGCAGACATATATGAAACAGATGAGGAATTGAAGAAGATACGTCATGATCGTAATTACTCCTACATGGTTCGTTTCTTTAACTTGTGTGGCCATATCCTTCTAATTATCCTGTTTGGACTAGAAAATGTTCTGATGCTCGTGAAAAATTGATTTGAAATTGCCTTTTGGCAGATTTTTGTTTTTCCTTCAACGAGTTCACTCCCCTCTATGGATCTCTCTATCTCTTCTATTATCTTCTGACTTGACTGTACTATTATTGTCAGGACTTTTGTGAGGTTTGTCCAGAAAAGCTTCCAAACTATGAAGAGAAGATTAAAAGCTTTTATGAGGAACACCTTCACACTGATGAGGAGATCCGTTATTGTGTGGCTGGGAGTGGTAGGATTAGCTATGTTTTGTCTTCTAGATCTTAATTAGTCATTATTTTGCGGCTTCTAATTTTCTTTTTCATTAATGTGGGTGGATGAAGGTTATTTTGATGTTAGGGATTTGAATGACAAATGGATTCGCATTTGGGTAAAGAAGGGAGCAATGATTGTCTTGCCTGCTGGAATTTATCATCGCTTTACACTGGATTCTGACAATTACATCAAGGTAAGATCACATATATGAGAACAAGTGTCAGTATCCTCTGGATGCTTACCGATGACGAGCTTCTAACCCCTTCGCACCATTTATTTTCCTTCTTCCTCACTTGATATAGGTTCATTTTTAACTCTTCTCATCTACTTTGCAATGATTTAAAGGCCCTCCAGTTGGTACTAATAGAAAAATGAAAATAGTTGCAAAGTAACTTTGATTTGGAGCGCCACGTAGCGCTTTCCCCATGCCTTGGAAAAGCCTAGTTTGTCTTTCCAACCAAAACCCCTGAAAACAATATCGTCAGTTCAGTCTTAACAATGCCAATTCTATCACTTAACGGTATTGGTGTATATTATAACTGCATTATCAACTGGACCAATGTTTCTGATGAAGCAAATTAATGTAGGCTATGCGTCTCTTTGTTGGTGATCCTGTCTGGACTCCTCACAACCGTCCCAATGATCATCTTCCTGCAAGGTATTGCTATTGCTTGTAGTTGGTGCAGTCATGAATTGTTGTTTATGAACCTTGCCATGGATTTGCCTCGAGTATAAATAGCATTCTCAACTCTTTTGCTGCTATTGCATTGCAGGCAGGAGTATCTCAAAACATTTGTGGAGAAGGAAGTCGGTAACCAAGCGGTTAATGCTGCAGCTTGAAGTCTGCTCAAGCGTCTGGAGTTTGAAAATCGAGTCTCAGCTGTTGAAATCTGTTACTATTTGTATGGTCTGGTATGCATGCCCTTTCTTGGGTATGTCTGTGGCTTTGTCGTGCTTTGCTAGTCAATGCCTACCTTATGTGCGGCTTATGCAAACTTAAAAGAAGTTATACTCGGTGTCTTTCATGTGCTGTTTCTGAAATATATGTAATCTTAGCTCGTGGTATAGATGGAATAAACACTGAACTTATCAGCAGTCATTGTGCATTAATTTGTCGACTGTTTGGTAATGGTGGATGTCATGTTCCTAAATTTCTGACCAATTTTCATTTGGGTGAAATAAATAGTCAAGTGTTTAGTATCTATGTCCAAAGAAAGCGAAGTATCGATGCCCCGTGGTGGGGACATGATTTTTTTTATCGAGAATATATGGCTACTTGTGTTCAAGCTTAAAAGTTAAAAGTTATTTAGTGGAGGTAAGCATGAAGTTTTCCAGTTTTATTGAATGATAATAAGTCAATGGTATTTAAAATCATACAAGTTTGATCTATTTTATAGCCTTGATTCAAGATCAAATTTACCAAGTGTAATTGCTAAGATATGAAGATTACAATATTATAGAAGTTAAGTTAATAGAAAAAGCCAGAATTAAGAACCTGTCTTATCCAACAAGCAGGGATAGAGAGAGTCCCTAGAAGCTGATATATATTTTTATGTTTGGTAAATAAATAAATTGATTTTAAGAAAGTTTAAAATTATTTTAAATTGATTTTTAAGATGTCATTTTTATGATGATCTTAAAAAATCAATTATGCTTAAGTTTTTTTTTCAAAATTAGTAATTCTATTATCACTCTTGTGAGACAAAATGGGATCTACCAAGTTTCTGTGCTACTCTACACTGCTAGGCGTATCCAATTCTTTTTCTTTTCAAATTATTCAAAATATTCTATTATCATAATTTTTCAATGTTGTTAAGCAAAGCTTGATTTTTGGATATTTTAAATAATTTGAAAAGAAAAAGAATTGGATACTGTTGTGGAACATGAAATTACTTTTAAAATGAAAGGAAAAAGGGAAAAAGAAAAAAGATTGTGTCGGCTAAGTCCTGAGCAAGTTCTACACAAATCCTCGATGTGTTGTTAGAATTTAAAAAAGAAAAGATTGAAATAAAAAATAAATAAAATAAGTGGTGTATTAAGTTACACGTCATTGGGCAAGGAGAACGCCCATTACTCTCATTATTATAAGAAGCGCACCTCCCAATGCCCCTTCTACAGCCACCACGTGTCCTACCCCACAAACCCCCTTTCTAATTCGCCTTTTCTTTTCTTCTCTTTTCTTTTTTTAATTGCCCTTTTCAATTATAAAAATAAAAAAACTTTTTGTTATAGGTTTCAAGTTCTTATTAGATTATGATCTATGAGTTCGCCTTTGGTTTCTTAAAAACATCTACTAAATTTATAGAGTTGTATCGGAGAATTAGAAGGGTCGAACCAGTTTATTAATAGAATCTGTTGTGACTCTCTKTAAAATACTCATTTAGATGAAAGCTACGAATAACAAACCTAGATTATTCACTTTACTTCGAATTAAACTACATTTTTCATTGCTTGTGTGGGCCCTCTCAATTCCTTTAAGTTTCATTCTTGCGACCGTACCTTATCAAATACAAAAATTTAATTCTCAATTATTAGGCGAAGTTCATGAGTCTAATTAAATCAACAATAAAATTAAAGTTTATGGATCTATCGGACATTCTTTAAGATTCGGAAATCTATTACATCATATAATTCAACCTAAAAATTTAAGTTTAAATCATACTTTGGCCTTCAAGCTTTTTGGTGCATTTTATTATGGTTTTTAAGTTTTAGAATGTCAATTTTAGTACCTAAAGTAAGCATATATCAAATTTACTCAAAGAGTGTTGAATGCACGACATCGAGTATTTCTTTTAGTACAACATGTGGGGTAATGGATCGAACTCACAATATCATAGTTAAAAATATATACTAATTATCATTAAGCTATGCTCGTTTGGTATATGATATCAAGTATTTGAATAATAATAATAGTTAGAAGGTTATTTTTTTAAAATTAAGATATTTTTTGTATAAAATATTTGATTGTTACATAAGAAAGCTACTAACCTACCACATATTCTTATTCATTTTATAAAATGGCCCCACATGAAGAATCCTTAGTCCACGTCTACACTTTTCTTAGAAAACAAAAAACTTTTTAAATATTAGTTGTGTTTTAGAATTCCAAAAATACGGTTTTAACCCCACTTTAGTTAATTTTTTAAAATTCTAAAAATTATTTGTGAAAATTCGATTGGAGCGTTTGATGCCTGGCCTGTCTGCTATGTTTTCCGGGAATTCTTGGACCGTACACGTAACCTAAGATGAGGGCGAAAATTTCTAAAAATATCATCTTGTTCAGTCCACGTGTACTCTTTCTATTGGATACTTCACGTTTTCCTGAAGCTGATGTGTCTAAGACCCATTGAAAAATATATAATATTGGACACACTCTCTCACAAAATAATTGGTTCGCTGCCACCTACCAAACTATGATCTTTGACTCATCCCTAACTTGTAAATTGCCTTCCAAACTTTGGATAAGATTTCTCATCTTCTAAAATTTCAATGGCCCTCTAGATTCTATTTGGTTATCTCACTCTTACATTCAACAATATGTGAGTGGAGATTCATACTTCTGACTTTTTAATCGAAATTTTATGTCTTGACCATTTGAACCATGGTCAATTATCTGATTTTTCTATATATTTTGAAATGTTTTGAACACAACTTTTATGAGGAGGATAGAAAGATTGCATGGTTTAAACTCAAAACATCTCAAAATATCCAAATTATTTGTCAAATAACTCTAAACCAATCACAAAAAGTTAATTTTTGAAAACGTAAATACTATTCGATTGATTAAGATATATATTGTCAACCAAAAGATTATTGGATTTGAATTCCCACCCTCACATTGCACTAAGAATACTAACTTCGCTGTGTATTTCACTACGACTAACCATAAAATTTCAGAATCTTCTAGAGTTGACGATTCTCCCTTCTTCAATATTGTTGTGGCACTCCACGATCTAGAACATTCCAATTTCCATCACAAGCACTACAAACATCACTCTTTGATTGCGACACCCAACCAAAAAAAAAAAACCAAACACTCCCAATAATATCATAACTTTCCTAAATGAGAAGGAAGATTATTAGGATGGGAGAGAAAAATATCTCTCCCCTGTTGGATTTTTTTTTTTCCTTTACTGTCCACCTTCCTAATTAATCATGCCATGCTCAAAAGGGAAGGGGCAAAAAGAAAAAAAAAGGGATATTGGACCCCAAAAAAAAGTATACTCTCACTTTCATTTCACTTGTTTATATAATTAGTACTGATTCCTCCATTCATCACCTACTCTTGTTTCTCACTTTTTTTTTCTCTCTCTCTGAGATGACTGCCAATTCAATTTCCAGATTCTCAAGCATTTTTGTTTTGAATTTCACCACAAGTTTGAAACTTTCTTGCTGATTTTCAATTTTTGGGCAACCCCATTTCGAAATTTCGAAAAAACCAGACGACTCAGATCATGAACAATCGTCCCCGCCGAGTGAAGGAGGAGTTTCCGGCGGCGTCAAGCTCTTCACTTTCCGGCGACCCGCCGCCGCCTCGGCCGTTGGAGGGGCTCCACGAAACGGGTCCTCCGCCATTTCTGACAAAAACATATGAAATCATCGAAGATTCAGCCACCAATGATATTGTCTCGTGGAGCAGAGGTAACAACAGTTTCGTCGTTTGGGATCCTCAGTCGTTTTCCTTAACCCTTCTCCCTAAATACTTCAAACACAGCAATTTCTCAAGCTTTGTCAGACAGTTGAATACCTATGTAAGTAATTTTCTTCATTTCGAGCCTTGATTTTTGTTTTCTAAGCTTTTGGGCCAAATGGGTGTAACTCTAATTAAACGAGAAAAGCATAAAGAAAATTAATGCAATGTTATTTTATTTACTGTGGTTCGGATTAGGAGGAGTTAATTGATAGATCTGAAATCTGAGACTTGTTTTTTCCATAATGGTAGGGATTTAGAAAGGTGGATCCAGACAAGTGGGAGTTCGCCCATGAAGGCTTTTTGAGAGGGCAGAAGCATCTTCTGAAGCTGATTCGGAGGAGAAAAACGCCGCAATCCAACGCTTCTCAGCAAGCTTCGGACCCTTGTGTCGAAGTCGGATGGTTCGGGCTCGATGGAGAGGTTGATCGGCTGCGCCGTGACAAGCAGGTTTGTTCAACTATTTGAGAGTTCGAATTCACGGTCTTGATGATATATGCTAAGTTGACTATTGCATTAACTCATACTTAACACTTATATACACTCTTATGAATATTATTCAAAGGTAGGAACATAACTTTTACGCACTAATAGTTTAAATACACGACCTTATTATTATTTTTTTAATATAGAGTGCGAGTGAGGAATCCAACTCAAAACCTCTTAATTTGAGATATATACTAGGTACTACATTTTTATAAAACAATGTATATGTTCATTATTAATTAATGATGTATTAATCTTTATTTAGTCTCTATACTTTTTTATTGCATTAGGCATGATTTAGTTTCTATATTTTAATATACATTTAGTTATCACAATTTAAATTTTTAATAATTTAGTAGAACTTACGAAACAATTTAGTTTACAAAGTTTAAAATTGCAACTATTTAGTGCGATAATTTCTATCAAAATCTATTGCAACGCTACAATTATACCTTATAACACATAACAAATTGTTTAGAATCAAACCATAAACTAAGTCATTTCGAGCTAGGACCTTAAAAGTACTATCTTTTTTTAGTTTTCCTAAACTTCTAAAAAATAACTATTTGTTCCCTTAATTCTCTAACATTCATTTTTTTTTTTTTATAACTAATTGGAATGTGTTTCGATGCCTAACTGATAGATGCTCTCAACAACCTGATTTCCAAATCAAAACTATAAATACTAAATTATTGTTACAATATACCAAAATTCAGAAATGAACCATATATTTAATTTCTTAAAAGGCACAAGAAGAGAATGAATGTTTAACGTTTGATTAGGTTTTAATGGCGGAGCTGGTGAAACTAAGGCAACAGCAGCAGAGCACCAAAACGTACCTTCAAACAATGGAAAATCGGCTGAAGAAAACAGAGACAAAGCAGCAACTAATGATGAACTTCTTGGCCAGAGCCATCCAAAACCCAGATTTTATCCAACACTTGATCCACCACAAACACTCCCACAGAGAACTCCATGAAGCCATTAACCGCAAAAGAAGACGACACATCGACCAAGGCCCCTTCCCGGAGGACGACATCCACGTGGATGTCGACTTGCTGGACCTTCAGATCCAGCACCAGCCGCAGGACGAGGCTGAGAAAGGAGATGACGTGGACGAATGTGTGGAGAGCGATCGCTTAGACGACGGGTTTTGGGAGAATCTGCTGAACGAGGCCAATGAGGAGGGATTTGGGTTTGAGGATCAACAAGATGATAATTATAAAGAAGATGATAATGGAGATGACTTTGTTCATCAATTTGGATTCTTCAATTCCACTCCTTAAATAGGATATAATAGTATCACAGATTATATCAAATCTTCTAATTATTAAACTTTTTTTTTTAGTCATTTTTTAGTGGTTCTATTTTTTTCCCACATTATTATTCATTTACGGGGATTTTATTTATAGTTTAGGTGTTGGGTACTAGAGAGTTGCATTGCTAGTTTCAACTCTTTTTTTTTCCTCCCTAAAAGTTCTTAGTGACTTTCTGTGCAGTGAAATGATGGGAAAAGTTCTCCAGAATATGTAGAAAATAACTGAAAGCGTGGAAAATTTCAAGTCGAAAAAAAAAACACGGCTCACAAAAAAATATAGTCGGTGAAAAATTATTATAATCACACATATTTGTCAATAGTAAGCTTAAAGTATTTCGATTTGATGAATTAAAATTCAAGACCACTAGTTTCTTTTATAGCACTAGGAGTACACTTCTTTCATATTTTTTTGATGTGAGACAACTTTTAGCACAACCCCTTCGTGTACGATGTGAAAAAAACTTCAATTCTAATATATTTTGCCAAAACTCAACATGAAATACGATAGAAATGATCATGAGAAATTTATATTGACCGGTGTTTATAGGCAAGTATTATATCTTTAAAAATATTGAGGTTTGGAAATTTGTTCGATAAAATCAGTAGATCATATCGAAGAGAACACGACATTTTTTATTTTGTTTTTTTCTTTCTAATGTAAAGATTAGTTTTTTACAACATAAATATAAATTATTCTATGTGTGTTGATATATATATAATATTCTAATTATGATAAATTGGGTTGGAGAAGAGATGGATTCTAGAAAAGTTTTAAGGCCATTTGACAGTTGGTTTTGATTTATATGTTTTTTAGAAACAATAGAAAATTAATTTATTTCGAAAGTAATTAATTTTCATACACTTCATTCTTCTCTCTCTCTTTTTTTTTTGACCGGCATAGACCCTTCATTTAGATGTTTAAAGAAGACTCTTTTGTTATTTATTTTTTAATTAAATATTTCAATACAAGAGTCGAAAGAATTAGTGTGTGATATCAGTCGAAAAAAAATTATAACACGAGTGAGAACTTTGAGTTATGGTATTTGTGTGCATATATACCTCATTTTTAAGCAGTCGTCATAATGATAAAAAAATTAGCTTGAGCTTTTTTTCTAACCATTTTGACATGTGACTCTGTGGTCGAAATTATAATGTCTTAATTAGTTGAGTTATTGAAAATTAATTTAAATTTGATCAATTAGTTTTATAAAGTTACGGTTAATGGTGAGAGTAAGTTCATCTAGCTTAGCACAACTAGAAATAATATCTAAAAACAATGCAAATTTTTTAGTGGAAAATTTGTGGCCATTGAGAGACCTATGTTGACGCAAAATAGTTTACTATCGACAAAAGTCCTCTCTAACGACATGACATCTGCATCGACAAAAGTCACTATATGGTGCACATAAGTCCATACAAATATTGTTTCTTTCTCTTTTTATGTTAGCAACCTCTTTTTTTCCTCCTCTCTAATCATTTGCTTTATCCATCCTCTCTCTTTTTTTAAGCATTCTATCTCCCTCTTTTTTCTCTCACTAAATGATATTTGAAAATATTAATTTCCAAAGAGATACTTGTACCCCATCCCATTATCTACATTTTCAAATTTTATCATCAATCATATTTTTGAAATTTAGAAGATAGTTACACCCCATCTTTCCTTTAACCAATGAAATAATTCAAAATTGTCGGTTGCATATAATTGCATTTCGCGTAAAAATGTCATTTAAAAGAAATTGAAATCCAACGGCCCTTTCAAATTCTCTGGGCCTCCATCCCATTAATGGGCCAATCATCAGTCCACCGAACAGCCCAATTCATCAACGTCGTATCTCTCTCTCCGTTGTGAGCCGTTGATTCTCGATCACTCGCTGGAGCGCAGTTGCACCAATCAATTGGGTAGACGCGCAGACACCTGATTAGAACTTAGAAGAAGACAACTTTGACCGTACTTTAATTAATTTATAAAATGACGTGTTAAAGCCACATGTCTTTATAGCTAAGGAAACAATCAGTGCCAAGTCAATGTCGAATGGAGTTGATCCCACGTCAAGCACTAAATCAAAATTATTATATTTTACACAGTGAAATTTTAATCTCTCTAAAATTAAAAACTAAAGTCTAAGTCTTTTCCTTTTGTCCTCTTACGCGTATTATTCAAAAGAATCTTAAATGTAAAGTTTACCATTACGTATTTATTGGCTTTTGATAACTTTAATAAATAACAGCAATTCTTGGATTTCAACTTCCAACTTTAAAATAGTAGGTATCATGGTTTAACTTTTTCTTTTTTTTTTTTACTTGGTTTAATTAGTTAAGATACATGTCATAATCTAAATATCGTTTGTTATGTTGTTGTAAGAAAAAAAAATTAGGTTTACATTGAAAATAATTTTCAAATGTGTAGTTAATAAAATATGGAGTCAAATAAAATTAGGGAAAACGTCAATTTTAACCCTTAATTTGACAAGATGTATCAAATACAACCCTAGACTTTAGAAGTATTACAATTTTTATCTTTGGATAGATTTTTGTTTGAAAACTCTTTGTTAATATTTGTGAGTGAATTAGCATAAATTAAATAGAATCTACAAATTGTAACACTTATCGAAGTTTGAAATTCAACTTGATATAATTATAAATATGATCAAAATTGATATAACTTGCTAAGTTTAATCTTAAAAAATATGATTAATTATATATAAAAAAAACCTCTTAAACTTTGTCATTTGTTAAACAAAAAATGCTCATATTATTTAAAAAGATTAAGTCCTATCATTTTTTTTACTACGATTAAGTCCTATCATTGACCCTTCATAAATGTTTTAAAAATAAATATTTATTAATATTTTGACCGGAAAGTTGACATGATAAAATCAGAAACAACGGGATAGTTAAGATTTCAAGATGAATTACAATAAAATACTCTTAAAGAATGCCTAAAACAATTAGCCGAACGAATAACCATCTAATGTTTGTGGAATATGTTTCGATGAAGAGAAGAGGAAGAAGAATAATCGTTGCACATCGATTGTCCTAACTCCAACATTTCAAAATGGCGTCGTCCACTATTCTAAACAAGTTTACGTGTTAATCGACGTGTTGTACCAGATTTACCAAGTAAACTTTAGGTTAAATATTAAAGAGTATTTTTTAAAAATTTATGAAGGGTCAAATGTAATATTGAAACTTTGGGAAAAATAGGAGTATTTTTATAAATAAATGGAAAAGTTAAAAGAGGCATTTTTTATAATTTAGCTTTAAAAATATAATCCAAAAGAAAGAAATATTGAAATTCCTTTTTCCCATAGAATTAATTGTTAAAAAGATATCAATATTTGAAAATTTTGAGGAATTACCGAGGACAATTCTGGAAATGGGGTAAATTTTATGACGCATCCATCGACGTCGTTAAACCGACAGTTCAATTTTTCTTTTTTGATTTTTAATTTTTCTTTGTTCAGTTCTGATTAAGCCTTCGATTGGAAGTTCCTCCGGTTCTCACCATTTCTCCTTGTTCGTTACGAACGGGAAAGGATTCTTAGTTTTCTTGGTGACAAGTCTGGTCAAGCCGCTTCGCTCTGAGTTTTTGTTTTCTCTGCCTGTAATGCCGTCGCTGTGAATTTACTACGGCTTGAATTTGCCTGCTTTGGACTCTGATCGGTATCGGCACCGTACTGAAGGAGTGAGTCGAGCACCTGAGCATCTCTAGGGTTTTCCATTTTCCTACTCGGTGTTTAGATGGGGGCTATGCCTTCTACGCCGCGTCGGACCAACTCACGGCCGCAGGATACGGCGGAGTACCTAATCGGAACTTTTGTCGGAGACGAGTCCTTCCCCATTTCCTCTGATTTCTGGCAGAAATTGCTCGAGCTTTCTCTTAATCTGCAATGGTCGACTCACCGCGTTCGACAAGCTTGTGAGCTTTTAGGTCGGTTATGCCTATAATTGCCCTAAATTGTTTAGAGTTGGATTTCGTTAGCTTAAACTCAGTTATGGTTTGGTTTTGCTCAAAGGGAAGTCTGGATGTGGAATTAAATGCGATCTAGCTTCTGGATTAGTTTGATATTTTATGTTAGTGGACACGATATGAGATTCCATTAAGCCTTGATTAGTGCGTAGTTGCCATGTCAGAGCTTTATTTGCCATGGCTTAAACTGACAGATTCTTGTGCGCATAACACCATTTGTTGTAATCAAGCAAATGCTGAGTTCTTAGCAATTAGCATGGTTTGGGGTGGGCTAATCCACTAGATATTAATATGAAATTCGCTGTGCTTCCATTTACAACTGTGCGACTAGATAAATTCAATTTCGATATTTAAAATACTTTTGCAGTGAAAGGTTTTAGCAACCTTGTAAATCTCTTTACATCTTTTTGGCTATTGCGTTACTTGTGCAGCTACAAACAACTACAAGACGAGGCATCTTGCAAAGATTTTAATCCACATGGCATGGTGCTTGCAGGAGTGCATTACGAATTCTGGAGCGTCGTCCTTGACTTATGAGAAGGCAATTAACGCTGTTTATATCTCATCTGTTTTCTTGAAGCACTTGATTGAAAATGCGAAAAGTGACAGGATTGGGGAGTTACATCTGTCCTTAAACGATAGTGAACATGTACCAAATGAATTCACAGGAGGTAATTCTTTCTTATGTGTTTAGAAAAAAGGTGACTTCAATCTCACAGTCTCAGTTGCTTTGCATGTATGACGTTGGTTAAGTTTGTATTAGCTGTTTTATTGGTATTTTGTAGTTTATTTGAAGTTCTGTAGGCTTCATTCTGCCTCGTTTTAGGTTTTGCAGATCAAAATGTTGAGGATCTTGTTATGCATTCTGTTCTTAGCTTTGTCGGTTCAGTTAATATAAGGTAAATGTTGGATCACTCCTTTATCTCGTTGGAGAGATATGTAGACTATTCTGATTATATACTTTTTTTTTGGTTCCAACAGCGACGATAAATATTTCCTCCATGTGGAGCTGCTTAACTTTTTGTTGATTGCCATGTCGACTCAACTTCTTTCTGGTCCATCTCCTAGGCCAAAGGATTTTAACCCATTTATTGATGCAGCCATGACTCAGGTAACTGGACTTTCAACTGTCATTACTTAAAAAAGTTCAAAGTTTATTGTTGCTGACTATTGAAATTTTCAGGACAGTGCCTTGGTTATTGTAGTCATGCGCAAATTACTACTCAATTATATAAGTCGGCCCAGCATACCTTTAAATGGTTCTTATCCCATATTTTCTGATGGAAACCAGTCTGGCGTCTTACAGAGAGTTGGTTCTGCAGCAGGTATGACACTTTTTCTTTCACTTTATTTGCAGTTTGTCAACGGAAACTAAGCCATAGGGATCACTTTAATATTTTTTTAATTGATTTCATTCCTTTGTAACCTTGGAGCTGATTTTGGAGAGTCTATGTGCCATTTTCTGTTTGTTGTGCGGCTTGAACAGTTGGTGCGATTTCTTGTCTAATTGCTGGTTTTAGATCTCTGAATATGTCATCTTAAAATAAGAAATCTTTTCTGAAGAGGCTGCTTTTGACAGATTTAGTAAACCTTTTTCAAGAGGCATTTTTCTCTCTTACTTGGCTCTCCATTAAACACTGCCAAATTTGTCTTTCAGGATTTGGTTTGATCAATTTTGTCACCATGCTACTATGCTTAATGCTTTTCTTGTTAAGTTCTTTACATCCATAAGCCCATATCACTTTGTTGTCCTAACTCGTCTGTAGAAGTTTCGTTTTTATTTCTTTCATTCACCCAAAGAAATCCAAGCCTACATATCTGGTTTGACTCATTTATTATATTTTTTATTGTGTACTTGTTTGTTGAATGTGGGAGACCATTTGGAGATTATTTTACTGATGAAGTCTCTGCTAACATATATATAACTTTCTACAGCAAGTCTTGTGTTAATGCCCTTCAATTATCTGGTCAATTCAACTGCCCAAGGCTCAAGAAGTCCACTGGCTGATTGCAGTCTAAACGTTCTGCTTATTCTCATTCATTATCGCAAGTGTATTGCTAGCAATGAATCTGCAGAAAGTGGTGATAACATTACTTCAGATTCTCTTTTAAAAGAGGATGGAACCTTTTATGATAATCCGTATTGCAAGGCCTTGGAAAATGCATCTGATGTTGAATGTAAGATATTTTAGTTTTCTTTTCTTCTTTACTATTTGCTTCTTATGGTTTATCCCGTTCATGTATATCTTATGCTGGTTAAATTCTACTCATGGTTGCAGTTGATCGCGTTGATGCAGATGGAAGTACACATAATGGTCCATTTGTGCGGTTGCCATTTGCTTTGCTGTTTGATACTCTTGGAATGTATGTATTTGCTTTCTTGTTTAACAAACGTTTAGAACAATATGTTCAAATTCAATTTGTTAAATGTTATGCTTTTAGGACTCTAGTTGCAACAGTCCTATAATTTCATGAATTTAGAAACTCTTTTTCATACTAATTCCAAGTTCATATTTCTCCCCCAATCCCCAAACCTTTCTTTTTTCTGTTTATTATTCTGGTGAACTATATTTCAGTTTAGTTCTGAATATGAATTTAATGCTTTCCAGCTCATCTTGAATTTCACGTCTACACTTTTTCTTGGGCAATTTTTGTTAAGTGACTGACATTCTGGAGGCACTCGATCTTACTGTAATGTAGCCTCTAGCCTGTAACACCTGGTTAAGAGAAAATATATGAATGTTTTGTAATATCTGCATTGACACACTACTTTTAGGCACGAAGGCAGATGAGATGAGACAACTTTCTACTTTGAGTTATCCTTGACCGGATTATGCTTCTGCAGGTGCTTAGCTGATGAGGCTTCCGTGCTTCTGCTCTACTCGTTATTGCAAGGGAATTCTGACTTCCTGGAATATGTTTTGGTGCGAACGGATTTGGATACATTGGTAAGTTTATGGAGTTTGCACACCCGAAAATATTGTACTGCATCATACATGCACATTTATCAAATAATATTACAATTTCAGTGTAAAGTCATGACTAAGTGCTTATATAGCTTGATAAGATTCAATTTTGATTAGCATTTTGTATGGTCAATGCGATGTTGATTGGTCAATGAGATTCAATTTTGATCGGTCAGTGTGATGTTGTGTCTTGGGCTGCCTACATCATACATACATATTTTTTAAATTATAGCACATTTCAGTGTGATGTTGTGACTAAGATTATTCTTAGATAGCTTGACGAGGTTCAATTTTGACTGGTCATTTTTGTTTGTAAATTTATACAAAAAAAATGTAGCTGTGTTAAGTCTGTGTGTTTCTAGTGATCATATTATCTGGCATGCTGTATATCCAATTAATGCAGTTATGTAACAGTTGATGCCCATTTTGCTGATTATATACAGTTGATGCCCATTTTGGAAGCACTCTATAATGCTTCAAGGAGGTCATCTAATCAAATCTACATGCTGCTTATTATACTTCTCATTCTTAGTCAGGATTCTTCATTCAATGCAAGCATTCACAAGCTGGTGAGGTCAATAATATTTGCTTGGATGGTTTCTTACTTATATGAGGTTCCCTTAAGTTTTATTACTATGAGCACAGATACTTCCAGGGGTTCCTTGGTACAAGGAGCGTCTTCTTCATCAAACATCTCTTGGTTCCCTGATGGTGATAATCTTGATCAGGACTGTACAGTTCAACCTATCTAAGTTGCGGGTATACCCTGACGAGCCATATCATTTAAATATAATTTTAGTTGAGTTGTTACAAAATGAACTTTCTTTGTGGTTTAATTTATTGACATATTGATGATAATTATGCTCATATGCTCCTTTTATCAAACCTCGGTGTTGTGGAATTATTTAATGCTTTGGATGGAATTAATAAATATGCAAATGCTTGTGGAGTGATGAATACTATTATCTACTAAGTCAGGGCCTTGGGGCGGGCACATGCTTTTTAAACCAGATAAATACCATTATCCATTTGCAATATGAAAATGATTATTATAATGGGTTGAGTCTGGCTCCGTTCCTTGAATCTCTCTCCTCCAGACACTCATCCTTTTACTGTAGTTTCTCTTCAGGGGTTCAACAGGGCGTCATTGATTGACTGAATAACTGACTCTCTTGAATTATTGATTTGTATTGAATCACGTTATAAGTTATATAATATACTGGTTGTTAAATATTTCAACTTGAGAATATTCTTGGAATATGTTCCCTTTCAGTTTCTTCTTCTGCTGCTCATTTTTTCAATACAGACACGTGCTTATATAATGTATATTGGTAATTATTCAACAGGATGTGTATCTTCATACGACTTGTCTTGCAACTTTAGCAAACATGGCTCCTCACGTCCACCGTTTGAGCTCATATGCATCTCAGAGGCTGGTCAGCCTTTTTGATATGCTCTCAAGGAAGTATGTCATTCTTAGTTGTTTCTGTTAGATTTTTGCCTTCATTTTTTTTTTGTATGTCGCCTATAAGACAATGTTGCTGATAGAGAGTATCAGAGACGAGCTGACTCCAACTTTAATTTACCTTTTGAAATGGGCGGACCCTTATGCATACCTTTTAATTTTACTATGGGAAGGCTTATTATCATAATTATGCAGACCATGGAACAACTCATGTATCATAATTCTTAGTTAATCTTTCGAGTTATGTTCTTGCTGTTATTTTGAGTGTAGGTATAATAGATCAGCAGAACTTAGAGACAACAAGGTTGATAATGCTAAAACCAACTCCATGGAAGTAAATTTCCCAGCTGATGATGCGGTAATTTACTAATAATTTGTAGGGTCAAAGTCTAATTCGTACATGGATTATATGCGTAGTTGCACAATATATTTCATCTGTTGCTAAAGTAGATATTTTTATGTCGTAGTCAACTGAGATGCATATTTATACCGACTTCCTGAGACTTGTCCTTGAAATTCTGAATGCTATTCTGTCTTATGCTCTACCCCGGAATCCAGAGGTAACATCATGGAAACTGACAGAACATTCAATAATTGGTTATATATTTTTGCCATTTACTCTTACTGACTTACGTCATCTGTTATTCAATCTGTACGCTTTGGCAGTTTATATATGCAATAATGCACAGGCAGGAAGTATTTCAGCCATTTAAGAATCACCCACGATTTAATGAACTTCTCGAGAACATCTACACTGTATGTTTCAAAAAATATTATAATTTTATTTATTTTGTCTTCTCATCCCCTGCTGTTGTTAATATTGCAATTTGACTTCGTTAGGCCTTGGTAGTCAGTTGCAGGTACCTATTTATTTACTTGTTAATATTGTGTAGGTATTAGATTTCTTCAATAGCCGCATAGATGCTCAAAGAATGGATGGTGATTGGTCAGTAGAGAAAGTGCTGCAAGTTATCATTAACAACTGCAGATCTTGGCGTGGGGAAGGCTTGAAGGTAAGGAAAAAATCCAACGCTAAGCAGATTAACAATGGTTTTTGAAGATCACTTTTCTTATTGTCCTTATTTCCTAATGATTTTATATTCGTGTAGATGTTTACTCAATTACGTTTCACGTATGAGCAAGAGAGTCATCCTGAAGAGTTTTTCATTCCATATGTGTGGCAGCTTGTACTATCAACCTGGTATCTTTCCTTCATTCTCCTTTTCTGTATAATCTTTAAATAATTTCATTGGACATCTCGAAATAAAGTCAGTTGTCCCTCTTGTTGATCCATGAAACTCTCTTGTAACCATATTTTAAAAGTACTTTGCTGCTTATCATTTTATGTTTCAGTGATGCAGTGAACATATATATTCAATCTCTTATGCATCATATTTTCCTTATTTGCTTGCCTTTTCTCTAAATCAGTCTTGTACGTGTAGCTAATCCATGTCTTCTCTTACACTATTACGTCTGATTTTTTCAGCGGATTCAACTTTAATGCTGGAGTTATAAATTTGTTTCCGGCCAATCTACCTTCAGAAGTAAGTGCCTCTATCTTTATACAGAATTAAATTTTATAAGGTAACCTGAATTTTCAGTACACGCTTATTAATGATAATGCAATATATAATTATAATAAGCTTTATAAAATCTTAAAATCAATCTCTGTTTTTGAAATTTGGCTAAAACTTCGACATGTTTAAAGAAAAAATAAACATAAGAAACAGAACTTTGCTTTTCAATGAACAATAAACAATAAACCAAGAGGCAAAATACTTATGGATGAACAACAAAATTGGAATCATGAGTTAATTTGTATGCTTATTATACACACAATAACAGAAAGAAGATGATGAAAATACGACACAACATGATAAGCAACCAAATGGTGAGGCTCAGAAGTTGGCGATCTACGTGGATCCTTAGGAGATGCAAGGTATGATAATATGCCCCGCTTCCCCCCCAGTAGAGATGTGGATGGTTTACGGTGAATATGAATATGTATATAGATGAAAATACTAGAAAAATATATTCATCCATTCTTTTCTGTTTATATGTTTTGAAGCAAGGCCCTCTGTAGATAAATTGTTTTCAGGAGATAAAATGTGTAATGAATAAGACACTGTGAGCAAATCCAATATCAAGATAAAAGTTTTTGGTTAATAAAACCTTTTGTTTTTAGGTTAAAAAATAAATCAAGTTCCTTTGATATGGGAGTGGGTTGGAACTGGATTGGATTATCTTCAATTGAAGGCTAGCCAGTTTATTTGTATATTTGCAACCTTAGGGATCATTATGTGCTTCTTATTCAAATATATTAGCTAGTTAATGCTTGCCTCCCGATCCTGTTTTTTTCCCTCTCCAAAACCCTTATCCCTAAAACCTTAGGTCTCGAACCAGTTTCTCCCTTTATCCATAAAGCTTAGGGTTCATTTTGGTAACGTTTTTATTTTTTGTTTTTAGTTTTGAATTTTATTAAGAAATCTAAGCATTTTAACCATTTATGTCTCAATTTTTAGAAACGTTCTGGAAATTGTTTAAAAATTTTAGAAAAAGTTGTTCCCGTTTCTAATTGTTTCAACTTAAATAAAGATTTTGTTTTATCATCCTTGAATCTATGGGTAAATAAAAAATAAGACGTTACCAAACGGGCTTTTAGTTTCTTTCTTTGCTTCTCTTTGTTATTTTACACAATTTAATACTTCAGTATTTGATCTTTTTGTTATTGTACCTCACTCTAATTGAATATTTGCTCATTGTCTCACTGTTACATTATAGAAAATACATCAGAGTAAGAAATTTATTAACATCTCGTGACACGGAATAATTGATAAACGTTGCAATTCTTCCCATTCAAATCAAATGCATAAGCGAGAGATAATAATGTGATACCCCATATAATACGTTCCATAGTTTGAAAAATTATTTAATTGTAAGTTTAAATATTGTTATTTTAAGTTTTTGTTTATTTTGGTTTTTGTACTTTTAAAACGTCTATTTTGGTCTTGTATTTTTTTGTTCTGGTCTATTTTAGTTTCTCTAATTTTAAAGCATTAGGATGTAGTTTAAAAGGTGATCGTTTAGTCTTTTTATTATTTATTCTTTTTATCATCACAATTTCAAGTGATACTATATTCAAGATCTTTTGAATTGGATTTATAATTTGTATTAAAGGATTTTGTTGGTATATAATTTGTGTTAAAATTTTAAAAATAGACGTAAAAATAGTAACTTTTACTAATGTTTTGAATTACATAAAATAGAATAAAACAAAAGTCGAAGTATAACAATCGAAATGGATATGTTAAATGTGCATATATTAAAATAAACTAAAGGTAAAGGTGAAAGTGTCTAAGATCTGAAATAGTATTAACCCTTATGTTTCCACTGACAACCGGAGTTCTACGGTTAAGACATCATGAGTGCAAGAAATTTTTGGCAAACTAAAATTAAGGATAAAAAAAAAGAAGAATAGTTGAAAAATGTTTCAAGTTTTCAACAAGTAGTT